CCCCAAAACCCCAAAACCCCAAAACCCCGCTCTAAAATTTAGCAATTGTTTTATTAAACTTTTCTTAGACTTCTTTTAAAAATGGAATCTCAAACAACGAGGTGTCAATCGGCCAGCTGAGAGACCTCTAGACAGGAATACTGATGCGACCATCAGAAGATACTTTGTCATGAATGTAGTGATACATTCCATTTCCAATGAAACACCCAGAGAATATCCAAACCTGATGAGATGATTAGAAGCATTGAGATGCTTGAGAGATTCACTCAGATCCTCAATGAAGAAGCCAGAAATTATGAATTATTAGAGCAAATCAAAGGACTAAAGGACACCTTGAGTTGCATCGAGAACACTATCAGTAAATTAAAGAGTGAAGCTGCATCGGCTCTAGCAAGCGACCATTTTCTCAAATATGATAAACTAAAATTGCAAGCTAGAGAGTTCAAGTCAGACATTCTGAACTCTAAATATGGGAATTCTGAAAGTGGTGTAAACAAGATTTTTGAGTTATTGTTTTATTCTCAATTGTTTAAATGTTCAAAACCAGAAGAAAAGAAGAATCTAGAAGGAATACAGAAAAACAAAGATACAAGGACAGACAAGCCACAAGAGGCACAAATTAATACAGACTCTCCTGCTACAGATACACTTGGAAATAATGAAAATGTTACACAAAATTCTGAGAACAATGAAGACTCTGAAACAAATGTAAAGAAAGATGAGCCAAACTCTGAAAATGTTCAAGAGATAATACACAAACTGAATGAGAGAGTCAAGTTTTTAGAGGATAAAAGCAAGAAAGATGAGTTTATTAAAGAAGGACAGATAAAAGATCTTGAAGAAATGAAGAAACAAATGGAAAAGATACAAGATCAAAGCTCGAAGCAGAAAGAGGATCAAAAAGAAAAGGAAAAGAAAGACTTAATAGAACCAGGATTTCTTACAATAAAAGGAAAGTTTCCCAAATACCAATCTTTATACATTAACTATTTTAAGGTTCATAATGAATTTGATCCAGATACTTTTCTCTATTTAAATTTGGATCGTGACTGTGATAGAGACTTTCTTATTGCTTTGGAAAAGCAATGAGTTCAGCTACCTGAGATAAAGGAAATATCAATTGATAATATAAAGAGAGAGCATTTGAATCATCTAAACAACTTTTTATTAAAATCGATTCCTGAAAAACTAAGCATATTTAGGCTAGAAAACTGTCAAAAGCATGAAATTTATTATTATAATATTAGGAAAGAATTGCTTAATATATTACCTAGAGTCACTCAAGAAATTTGAATAGCAGGATTAAGTTGCAATCACAAAGACTGTAAAACAATAATAACCAATTCTGTTAAAGCAAGAAGTTTAGAATTTAAATTTTGAAAGTTGCGTAAAGAATCAGATAACAATAGAGATGACGAATTTGGAGAGGAAACTTCAGAGTTAAAATACTTGTGCTTTAGAAATTGTGAGATGTCTTCTTCAGGATGAAGTGGAATAATAAGTTACTACTTTATGGAAGAGATACTAAAGTTTATTTTGAAATCACCTATAAAAGATAATCTTGAAACTCTATCCGTTTACGACACTTTTGATCAAAGAAAGAGCATTGCTTCAATACTAAAGAATCTTCACCTGGAAAATGTAAAATTAAACAAGGAATTAGGCGAGGAATTATACAGGGAATTAGGAGAAGAATTAGACGAAATATTATATGGTAACTGTTTAACTTTTAATTTTCAATAACATGGTAGTAAACGGGGTTTTGGGGTTTTGGGGTTTTGGGG